CTCAACCACTATTGATATAATTATTTCAATAGTGGTCGTATTTCAATAGTGGTTACTAACTACGTTTGCTATTAAAATGCACTCTCAACCACTATTGATATAATTATTTAAATAGTGGTCGTTATTTCAATAGTGGTTGCAACACGGCTTTGTAACGTGTTTTCCTGGCGAGGAGTATCAGCAGTTATACGGAGTAACACTGTCGGGTATCCGCGCCGGTTGTGACATGTTTGGATGCAGTGAAAATGGCGGAGTCATTCAACCGCTTCGATTCATCGAAAAGTTTTAGTCTTATTAAATGGAATCTCTAGTGTGTAATTTTACATCTAAAAGACAGCCTGTGTTCAAAAGCAATTATTAATCCTGTAGCTCTGCTATAAATCCACGAATTTAATGCAAAGAAACTGTTCCGATGGTGACGTGCTATAGAACAACGTAACATGTTTGGATGACAGTGTTTACAAAACTGTGTACGGTTTGGATGAAGTTGTGATACGTTTTTGATGAGATTCGTTGATATAAAATTATACTTAACATTACATGGTATAATATGTCAGTTTAACACTTTTAAAGGAAGGGGCGGGGTTTCCAGATAAATTGTTTGAAAACTTACCTGGAAACATCTTTAACAAAAAAATAAATGGTAAAATATCAAAACTTAACAAGAGATGTTTGTAAAACACTTATGCCCCCCTCCCCCACAAATTGGAATTTTTCTAAGTCCAAGGGGTATAACTCTGTCAATTATGGTTCGATCATACCCAAAACAGAACTTGACCTAGATATTTATCTGACTAATCTTTATACTAAATTCAATTTCAATAGTTGCAACTTCTCCAAAGAAAATGAGCGAAAAACTGAAAATAATTAGAATTTTGTTAAGTCCAAGGGGCATAACTCTGTCAATTATGGTGCGATCGTAACCAAAACAGAACTAGACCTAGATATTCATAAGACTAATCTGTATACTAAATTCCATTTCAATGTGTCAACTTCTCCAAAGAAAATGAACGGAAACTGCATATAATTTGAATTTTTCTAAGTCCAAGGGGCATAACTCTGTCAATTATGGTGCGATCGTACCCAAAACAAAACTCGACTTAGATATTCATCTGATATACCTGTATACCAAATTTCATTTCAGTATGTGCAACGGTTATGAAGAAAATGAACGGAAACTAAATGGACCGACAGACCGACCGACAGACAGCAGCAAAGCAATATGCCCTCCCTTCTTCAAAGGGGGGATTAATAAACCATGTTTTGTTAAAAAAAAAAAAAAAAAGGGGGGGGGGTCACAAACAAATACTTCGAAAGGATGACTTGACTTTAAGTAGTTGCAACCCCGCAAAAAAGAGAGTAGGGTTACAGGCCTTTCAATGAACAAGTTTCATAGTAAGAAGATAATTATGATTTATATTTGAGGGAAAATGGTGAAAGGAGCCGACCCCCCCCCCTTCTTTTTAGCCCTTTGTCAATATACCGTTTCCTGTTTTTCTTAAATTTACGTAATCAGACATATTCGGTTTATATGTACAACGAATATATACTATTCTCTGAATATATTGGTTCATGAACTAATTATTTATAATAAAATTAATCAATATCATAATTATATAATACAATGCAAAATAAAAGTGTATAACTTGTACCAATCCTGACATATTGGCGTCGGAAACAAAATTGGGGGGGGGGGGGGGCGCTAATTGAAAGACAAAAAAATTCCGTCCTGTAAAAAATGACACGCAAAAAATAAGGAGGAAGAATTGATTTTTTCCAAACTCTAAAATCCTTTTTCGTGTGTGTGTTGAGGGGGGGGGGATATAATGATTGAATTTCTTTCTCTATCATTTTTTCTAAACGCTATATACTGCTTACCCTTCTTTCATTATTTGCCTGTTGAAAATGGGGGGTGGGGGGTGGGGGGGTTAAACAATGCCCCAATATTCAATGCATGCCTATTTAATGATAGCCCCCCCCCTCGGGTTCATTGCATATGTAATATAGAATTCTTTTCCTATTATTCTCATACTTAGAATATGATTATTTTATATTTGAATAAAAATAGTGAGGGAGAATATAACATATAAATGCAATCAATGTGGCAATCTTATTACAAGTTTAAAATCACTACAAATTGGGGTCCGGCATTACACGATCAGTCGCTCAATACAGCTGTGAGCACGATCTATGTCCTATATATACTAAGCACTTAGGTTCATTGAGCAGTGAGGGATCTTTTTCGTGCCAACACCTACTGCGACACGGGGCCTCGGTTTATACGGTCTCGTCCGAAGGACCGTTCTCTCCCACAGTTGGATTCGAACCCGCGACGTAAGGATCGACTCCTTACTTCGCGACTCTAGAGCAGACGCTCTAACCAGTGCGCCAACGAAAGTTGGAAACGGGATAATCTGCACAACGGGCAATTTATATAGTAAAAAATACGTATGCAGTTTATTGCACAAAAACTAAGGAATTCGTACACGTAGTATTGGAGATTTTTTTTCTTTTTGGACAGCAAGACAAGAATGACAAGGTTCATCCAGTTTTAGCTGCTGATAAACGGCGATATGGTTTATTATTTTAGTGTCAAACACTAAAATATATAAAATCATAACGCTGCAGTTTCTAATCCAGTTTGAGACAGTCGAGACTACATTGAATCTCTATACAGTGTATATAAATTAATGTCGTTTAGAGAAGGAAGGGGGGGGGGGGTAGAGTAACTCTTTGGAAACTCACTGTTGACGGGATATACATTATATGATTTTTTTTATTTTCATTTGACTTAACACATCTTACGTTTATTTTATGCTATCAGGCACGTAGTATCGTTTTTAAAGAAAAAAAAGGGATGTGATCGAAAACTTACCTTTAAGTCATGTTGAGGAAAAGGGATTGAACATTTTTACATGAAATCCACTGTTACAGTAAAAGCAATGTTTGAAAAAGGGAAAGGTGGCTTCTTTCAACTTTCATCTATGTGCCTGTGAAAAAGTTATATAAATTGATACTAATATAACCGTATATGTTATCATAAACGCCATTTCCTCCACGTAAGGGCGTATTAAACAAGCAAACTGGTTCGCATAGCTCTACAGGATTCAGAAATTTGAAACTCAGAAATATAGACTGTCCAAACCGTAACATATAGATGTTGAATTTGCATCCAAACCAGAACACTCCCATCATCCAAACCGTACTCTATTTGTTACGGGTACGTAAAATAAAACGTTTTTTAAATACATTTCTTGTATGCGACACAAATTACACTTTCAATATCTAATTTGAAAAATGATTTTTCTTTCTTTTGGCTGCTTCAGATTTTAAATATATTTGATATTATTTTAACAATCACGACTTAAAACTTGCTAAAGGGGTAACAATGTCATGTGCATCGATAAAAAATTGCATCGACGAATTAATTAAATGAACTCTACATGTATAAATAGAATTGAAACACATCATTTTAATTAACCAAATACCTATAAAATTTCAATAAAAAATTGAGAAAAAAATTAATATTTACCAAAATATAGACCTGGAAAAGGTACACAGTATTCACCGTTTGTACATTTGTCGCCATTTTCACCGCATCCAAGCATGTCACAACCGGCGCGGATACCCGACAGTGGAGTAAGTGTACACTAAACCAAACTTCTAACTGTTCACCTAACATTTTTATAAGTTTTAAAGAACGAATGCATAATATAAATAATTTCTTTAATCTATGGTCAATTATGCATATTTTATGCATATTTCAATTCGATATTGCGTAAATTTCATGAAACTTAAGTAGAATTTTAAGCAAAGTGTTAAGGAAATGGTGTACCCTCATAATGAAAATTCACACAAAATAATCTCTTTGGGGTAAGACCACCACTCGCTCTAATTACTGCAAGACATCCTTTACTGTTGGATATCATGTACCCCTGAATAGGAGATTGAACCATCTGCTGCCACACCTACTGCATAGCTTTTTCCAAACCTTTGATATTGTGTTAAGGGGGGTTGACATTCCATATAAAAATCCCAAATGTGTACAATGGGTTTTAAATCCGGGAATTTGACAGTGAATTATCACAAAGAGGCCTTTTGGTCAATATCCTTTTGCGTTTTGCACGTAAGTGTACTATAAAGCCTTTTTATTGAAAAACTAAGGTGCTTTTCTTAATTTGATTTATTGTTGAATAGTAAATGTATGTCGTAGTAAGAAACTGAAAAATAAACAACACAGTCATAAGTACAATGTTACAAAAACAAACAAGTAAAACAGCACAAAAATGCAACTCAGGCAGACTACTACATATCACTATGTGTTTCATTCTATAAATGACTCAATAAAAATATCTCTCTTAATAAAACTTGATTCTTATGACATTTTGTAAATAAACAACTTGCTAAACTTATTTTGTAATGAGATTTAATGTTTTGACAAGATAATTCGAGGTTAACAATACTTATAATCTGTCGTACATGAATTATTCGACTGAATACGTGACATGCAAAGACCATGTGCGCCCTAACCTTGACATTAGCTACCGTTTCTACATTTAGACAAAGTTTTATACAATTCTACACATACTGCAAATGCATATATCTTCATCTTTCACAAGGTTTATAATAAATCACTAAGACATATAATGAACAAGAAAAACTTACTCTATGCGGGACTAAAACAGCCAAACATGACATAGGTTTGCTGATTTGATGCGGGCGCCGTGCTGTACACAATACACAAACGGAAAATAGTGTGTAAAAAACAAACAGATAACGGATTCAATCCGGAAAGATAACTAAAGGGAACAACTCAAATTCATGTGACACTACACCCCCCGTCTGATTTATCACTCTTTACAAACTCTGCCCTACATTGACACTGATAGCACAAAAAATACTACTTGTATGTAAAAAAAAAAATACATGTTAAACAAAAACATCAAAACATGGTATACACAAAGAACGTTACATGTAAATCAAGTTCATGTACTACATGGTTACACTGTAATCAATGGAATCACTTCCGTAGCGGGCCTGATGAAGAGGCATGGCTTTCCTTCCTTGATGATACGTACTTCGATTTTGCGTACCAGACCGTCCGACTCACTTGGAAATACATGGTGTATGATACCAACTGGCCAGTCATTGCGCGCACTTTCTTTGTCATGAAGTAGAACAACATCCCCATCTTTAAGATTGTCCGTTGAATCTTGCCATTTCTGCCGAGGTTGTAGAGTGAAAAGGAACTCGGTTTTCCATCGCTTCCAGAAAGTGTTAGCAATGACCTGGACCATTTTCCACTGACTTCGGTACATGTCCTTGACATCAAGATTCTGGAATTCACTTGGTACTTCATGAGTTTTCTGTGTCAGTAGAATATGTGGCGATAGAACGAATGGTGCTTCAACATCTGTAGACACAGGCACCAGAGGCCTTGAATTCATTATAGCCATGACCTCTGCCATAAAGGTCGTCAAAACCTCATGAGTCAGCTTCCCATCCATAAGCATTGCCTCAAGTATGCGACGGGCAATGCCTATCATCCTTTCCCATGTGCCTCCAAAATGGGATGCTTGGGGAGGATTAAAACTCTATACAATCCTCTTGTCCGCAAGAAACGTCTTCAGACTGTGGTCTTCCACGTTCACTACATTCATCTGCAGCTCCGTAGCAGCCCCCACGAAGTTTGTCCCTCTATCGGACCTGAATTCAGAGACCGCACCACGAACTGCAACAAACCTTCTTAAGGCGTTGATGAAAGAAGACGAGGTCATCTCCTCAACGACTTCGATGTGGACGGCTCTGCTATACAAACAGGTAAACAACACCGCCCAACGTTTTGAGTGTGCACTGCCCCCTCTTGTTCGTCTCGTGATGACAGTCCGCATCACATCCACATCAACAAAGGTGAAGGGTGCTGACCTTGTAAGGCGGACTTTAGGAAGATCAGCCATTTTCTGACATAATGGCTTCCCTCTCATCTTGCGGCAGGTCACGCAGTGATGAATGATTGATGACACCAAGCGTTTCCCTCCAGAGATCCATAGGCCCTCACTTCGTATAGCACCTTCTGTCAGATGATGCCCTTGGTGGTAGATTTTCTCATGATGATGATGAACCAATAGTCGGGCAACATGGCTCTTGCCAGGTATAAGGATGGGCGTCTTCTCCCCTTCAGGTGAATCCAACAATTTGATTCGTCCACCAACTCGTAGCAAGCCGTCATCAAGGTAAGGCGACAGAGTCAGAATTGTACTGTCTCGTAGAAGGGTTTTCCTGCACGTAATGCACATAGTTCTTTCTGATAATACTGCTGTTGAACCTCTTTAATGATCAACATCTCTGTTTCTTGACGAGATATTTCATCCACTTTCCCTGCTTTCTCTCTGATGCATTTCTTGATGAAGGTAATGGCCCTCACAAGGCTCAACCAACTACCAAAACGACTGAAACGTGATGTTCCTAAAGTTGGCTTGGTTGATACTGATACAGTTTTAAGGGTCACTATCTCTGGTCGTACTTCACTATCTTGATCTGGGTTCACCAAAGAAAATGTCTCATTCTGGAAATTGTTTGTATTTACTTTGAGGAAGCCTGGTCCCTTTAACCACAAACTATCACCGAGTTGTTCTGGCAAAAGTCCACGAGTTCCCTGATCAGCAGGGTTTTCATCTGTTGTTACATAATTCCACTGGTGTGGAGAACTCTTACGTATCCTGGAGACACGATTGCATACATATACATAAAAACGTCGGCGCTCATTTGACAGATACCCAAGCACTACTTTGCTGTCAGAGTAATACATGATGTCCTCTAAGGGTAAGTCAAGTTCTTTTGAAAGCATCTCACCAAGCTCCACGACTAGGACGGCAGCACAGAGTTCCAGTCTTGGAATCCTGTGCCCACTTCTTGGTGCAACTTTACATTTGCCGAATACAAATCCTACGGAGATCTCATCCACAGTTCTACCTCTCAGGTAAGCACATGCAGCTACTGCTTTTTCAGATGCATCACAAAAGATGTGTAACTTTGTGTCAACACACTTGCTGTATGATACAGACAATAGTCACCGGGGAATGTGAATACCATCGAGTCTCGTCAATTGTTCTAACCAAAGTTTCCAAGCACTCATAGTCGCTGTAGGTAAGGGATCGTCCCAACTCTCAATCCCAGTAAATGCTTCTCGCATGATAAGTTTGCCATATAAGATTATGGGCGCAATGAAACCAAGGGGATCAAATAACCCATTTACAGTAGACAGCAGTCCTCTTTTGGTTAAAGGCTTCTGCTCTTCTGAGGCTGTGTATGTAAAGGTATCTGTAACTAGGTTCCAACACAAACCCAAACTGTGGTGTACAGGTAAGTCATCTCGATCCAGGTCAAGCTGTTACATGGATTTTGCAAGACCGGCAGACGGAAATTTTAGCATCACTTCTTCGCTATTCGATGCGATCTTGTGTAATTTCAAATTTCCAGCTTCCAGGAGAGATTTCTGAGTTCGCTTCAGAACATTAACTGCTTCACTAACACTAGGAAATGACGCCAATCCATCGTCAACGTACAAACTGCTTCACATCTTCCTTACAGTCAGTAGTTACACAACGTCTAAGTCCATATGTGGCAACCGCCGGAGAAGGTCGGTTGCCGAAAAAGTGGACACACATTCCGTACTCCAGTAATTCCTGTTTTGGATCGTTATTTCGATGCCAAAAGAAACGAAGAAAGTCTCTGTGAGGTTCTGCAACGTGAAAACAGAAAAACATCTGCTGAATGTCTGCAATCACAGCAACCGGCTCCTTTCTGAATCTCATGAGCACTCTATCCAGACGATTCATCATGTCTGGTCCTTGCATTAACACGTCATTCAGGGAAATGCCCTCATGTTTGCAGGAAGAGTCAAATACAACTCGTATTTTATCCTTTTTCTTGGGATGGTACACCCCAAATATAGGCAAGTACCAACATTCCTGCCCAGGTTGAATAGGAGAAGCGACTTCAGGATGTCCTGAATCAAAAATCCCTTGCATAAAGCTTACAAAGTGTTCTCGTTTAGTTGGATTTCGTTGCAGACTCCCTTGTAGCATCGGTGCTCGTTTCAGTGCCACAGATCGATTGTTTGGTAGTTTTTCTCGGGTCTCCCGAAATGGTAATGGGGCTATCCAATTTCCTGTTGAATTCTTAGTGAAGGTTTTGTCCATTAACTCAAGGAATTGGGTGTCCTCTATGGACTGTCCTAATTCGTTGTCATTGGGTTGACGTTTGAACATGGGGTCATTGTCTATACAGCTATTTAGGGTTATATTGTATTCACAATTGTCAAATACATTAAAGCGTTCACTCTGTTTCACTGTAGTTTTCATAACGTTCACATATGCTGGTGGATGGACATTTCCAATACAGACGTTTCCTATGAGGACCCAACCAAGAGCGAGCCTCTGCGCGAAAGGGGTACCTCGTGGTCCTGTACGTTGATCTTCTATGTGATGTGCCTCTGGCAGGTCCCTTCCAATCAACAATAGAATTTGGACCTTTGAATCCAGAGGAGGAATCTCTACCCCACTCAGGTGTGAATGAAACTGAACTATATCTGGTGTTGCTATTTCACTCTTTTCCTCTGGAATCTGCTCACATTCTGTAACCAACGGAAGCTGTAATCTACAGGAACCGTCGTTTGACTCCACCATAAGTCCAAGAGCCTATCTGCCACTTCGTTTAAAGGTACCAGCACAGGATTTCAGTGAATACGTAGTAACTGAAGACATCGGAATGTCCAAAGCATCAAACAATTCCGGCCTCGCTAGTGTATGAATACTCTGGTCATCTATCAAGGCGTATACATTGAAGGATCGTTCCGGGTAGTCCATTGGGTAGACTTTAACTAAGAGAGTCTTGGAGCAAGATCTACCTGTGAAGTTTTTACCACAGAGCTCTGTACAGAGTGAACTCATCTTTGAACCCTCCACGTCATAATGTGACCTGGGTGAAAGGTCGGATGACTTGTTGGGTGTCTCCCCGCCATGATGTGACCTGGGTGAAAGGTCAGATGACTTGTTGGATGTCTCCCCGCCATGATGTGACCTCCATGCAGCATCTAGCTTGGTAGACATATCAATGTGTAGAGCAATAGGACGATTCTTGTTTCCGCAAATGTCACATTTCACAAGTGCACTACAACTTGTATAACCATGTCCTGTAGAATCACAACATTTAAAGCAGAAGTTGTAATCCTTCAGCAGTTTCTTTCTTTCACTTAGAGTCAATCTCTGGAAAGTCTTACACTGATTAATAAGTGTATGTCTGTTCACATGTAAAACACAGTTGTTTTCTTAGGTGGCACTATGATCTTCTTCTGTTGTTTTCACAGTTGTTTTCTTCACCTGAACATCATTCTTGCGGTAGGTGTCTTTACGTCGTGACTCAGTACAAAAGTTAGAGCGACTTGTGGAGTTAGCTGCCGGTTCACTCGTGCTTAAGTAATCAAAGCTGGGATTATTACGGGTCTTACTCATTTCCGTCACAAACTGGACCAGGTAAGTAAAGGGTGGATATGTGACTCCATGTTGTGAATTATAACTTGTTGCACGTGTCGTTCATTTTTCCTGCAAGCTGATTGGAAGCTTTGCGACAATTGGGCGCATGCCTGTGGGTGAATCCAAGTAGAACAGGGAACGATTTAACACAGGGTCCTCCATTCGTAGTTGCACTTCACTTAGTAGATCTGCTAATTCAAAAAGCTTTTTTTGTCTTTCACAGTCAGTTTGGGGAAATCCAACAATCTCGACTTCAACGAAGTTTCAAGTAGTACCGGGCTTCCATATCTGTCATCCAGGCGACTCCACAGCTTCTCCAAAGCTTTCTGTGGGTTGTTGATATTGCCGGTCCGTATGCTCACTGCATGTTTCTTGGACTCGGGTCCTAGATATCGAATCAGTAAGTTCAGCTCTACTCTCGGATTGGCGTTCAGTTCTTTTGTAAGTACGTCAAAGCTATCCTACCACGACTGATAAGTCTCTGGACGATCATCAAAGGTTACTAAAGACCAACGCAGCAAGTCTTTCTTATTAATGTAATTCGCAAAGTCATTGAGTAAGGCAGGTCGAAGCTGTATCGGATTGACATGATCGGTCGTTGTAGACGTAATGACTTGGTCCTCATGGATTGGCCTTGTTGGACTACACTGCAGGAGTGCAGGAGTGCCAGTAACTGTTGGAGGAGAACAATTCTCCAGACTTGTATGAAAAACTGGTACGCTCGTATGAACAACTGGTACACTATCTGTTATTTGCTGATCACTTAAGTATTTATTAAGAATTTCACTATTATCTGATTCATTGCTCACAGAAGTAATTTCATCTTCATCCCACATTCTGAATTCCTCTTTCATTCCCAGGTACTCTGCGTCAGCTACTGCAGCTGAAAGAACGTCCATTTTGGCCTTTAGTAGTGCCTCTTCTTGACTCATCTTTGCTTCCTGTTCAGCAGACTTTAGTTTTACTCTGGCAGCTTCTCTTTTTGCTCGCTGCTTGCCTAGAAGTGATGCAGC